GGGAGGGGGTGGGCACAGGGCAGACCCTGGCACCTTGTGCCATCTCCTCAGGCCCTAAGGGGAGCTGGCAATCTCAGGTGGACCCTGCTGGGAACCCTGATGTCCAGGGTCTGTCCAAGTGCACAGTTGCCTGGCTCAGGGTGGGCACCCTATGGGGAAAGTCCAGCAGCTTCAGGGCTGGAAACTCTGACGGGCAGAGAAGCCTAGGTTGTCCTCCCCACCTCACCCCCACATCCGCTTTCACTGTACCCCCCCACCTATCCTCCATAACTGGCCCCCAAATTTTGGTCCTGTGCTTCATCCAGAAAGGAGCCATAAGTACCCTAAAGTGGCCATCCCATGGCAAGACCAGGCCTTGGAGGGCAAGCGAGACTCCTGATTTAATTCCTCCTCCCCTCTCCGCACTGAGCCTGCCTAGGGAGAAGAGAAGAGGTCCTTGGAGTAGGGCGAAATAGAGAAAGTGGGACCTGAAAGAGAAAACTGGAAGGGAAAAGGAGAGGCAGAGATGGGTTCTAGGAGGCCTCGGGACACAGATGTGGGAGAGGAGGTAGGAGCCCGGCAAGGGCCAGAGGAAAGTAGAGGATGAGTGGCGGAGAGAGGACAAGGTCGGAGAAGGCACTAAGGGGACAGAAGAGGAAGCCAAGGAAAGGGACCGAGAGCAGAGAGTGGCTGATGGGCAGGGGTCCCCCAAGGTAAAGTGGGGAAGGCTGGGGAAGAGGGAGATGCCCCCATTCCTTCCTCCGCCATCTTTTATCTCCCTCGTAGTACCCTGATGCGGGCGAGCAGCTAGGGGTAGGGTTGGTGTCATGGAAAAGAATATGTGGGGGAGCACTGAAGTGTCCCTCACATCAGGAGTTGAAGCACCAGGAATTGGGGATTTTGAGGGAGGAGAAGCTTAACCCCCACAGCACTGGGAAGCAGCCAGCTCCCCTTGCCTCCTTCCCCCTTCGTGGCTTGCGGTCTCTCTTCCCCGCCTAGGCCCCCAGGAAGTGTAAGTGCTGGGGGTGGTGAGGTTAGGAGGGGGGAAGCAGCATATGGGGGATGGGGAAGTCATGCACTAGCTTTGGAGGGGCTAGGGTGGCAAAAGAAGGGCTCCATGAATGCCTTGGGCATCCCTGGGCAAAGTGCCTTCCCTGCGAAGTCCTTCCAACCCACCAGGGCATTCACCTCAGCCCCTCACCCTGCCTTCCCAACTAGGCCATCCAGATGGCTTCAACCCCTAGGCCCCAGAGGCCCTGGGAAGGGGTGGGAGAAACCGGGGAAACTGGGATTCCTGGGTCCCTGCGGACTTTGGACTGGCTGTCCTATTTCCCCAAGCCCCTGGTCCAGCCACAGGCCAAAGCCCTTGGCTTCGTGCAAACTTAGCTCCAAAAAAAACAGGAAGAGGACCTGAGGCTGGAGTCTGGGTGGGAGTTGAGGGATAGCAAGGAGACAGAAGTAAGGGGGAGGGTGGCTGGCCAAGGCACCAAGGCATCGGGAGGAGCCCTAGGTCTCTCCATCACCCCGACAGGAGGATGTCACAGCCGGGTCCTCATCCTCCCTCACCCCAAGCTGCTGTACCTGGAGCAGCTTGACCAGGCTCCTCTCAGGCTCCCTGGCAGAGTCTAGAGGTGGGAGCCTTGGAGCCTGGGGAGGGGGGCTCTGTGGGCCTGTGTCTCAGGCCCGTATCTATTTTCTCCGCCGCTAATCCTGGTTCCGCCTGCTGCCCCCCACACTAAGCCTCACTCCCCTAATCCCCAGGGTGTGGGGAAGGGGGGCCGGCTTTACTCAGCTGCCCTGTTCAGGGCCTCGTATCCCTGCTCTTCAGCTGGCTTGAGCCAGCAGTGTTGGCCCTGGTGCCCCCATCCCAGCACTGGACACTGGCTGAGGTCAGACCTGGAAAGAGTTCTGGCCTCTTTTTCCTTTCTAAACCTTTTTCGTTTTCACTGCTCTCTACCTTTCAGTTCTTGGTGGTGGACACACCTGGCAAGTGCCCTTGGGCACTGAGGGGTAGGTGATAGGGGCTCCCACCTTTCTCATCCCAAAGTCTTCCCCCCATCAATGATGGGGCAGGTTTGACTCAGGGCCCAGTTTCAAGAGAGCTGCCCACTGGCTTGGCCGGTCTAGCAGGCCTGACAGTGAGGGGAGCCTGGGGGGGTGGCAGGAAAGGGGGGAGTGATGGGGCGGGGCCCCCAGTTCTTCCCCCTACCAGGCAAACAGACCAAACAGACCTCGCCTGGTTCCCTGGCACAGCTGCCCCCCCAACCACCACACGCCCATGCCCACAAGGTCTTAGCAAGAGGGGGCATGCCAGGCTGGGTGGGGATGGGCCGCCCTCCTGGGGCGTCAGGGGGCTGGGCCCTCTGGGACGCAGAGGTGGGAAGGGTGCCCAAGGTGGGGTGGGCATCCTGGCACCAGAGCTCCACCCTGGCAGAAAGAAGGGGGAGGCCTCCGCCCCACCCACCCCTCCCAGATGATGGGGCTAGGAGTGCCCCCTTGGCCTGGTTGGCACCAGCATATTTCCAGGTGGCACCTAAGTTGGCATGGGTGTCAGAGCCCTGGGTAAGGGCTGGGGGAGTTTCCCAGAAGCTAGAGAACCATATGAATACCTGCCCTTCCCACGTGTGTCTTGTGTCCTTTGCCTCTCCCCTCTTTCATTGCTACCTGGTGGCCATGGACATTGGAGTTGGACCTAAGGGGTTAAATACCCACCCTTGCCCAAGCCCAGTGTGAGTTGTGTAGTGTACCAGCCTGAGCTTCTGACCTGACAGCAGGGTGAGCCAATCAGTGCCCCTGCAATACCAAGCTGCCATGGAGACTGGCCCTGGGGTGGGAGAAAGGAGGCAGGCTTAACAGCAGGAATGGGTGGGGTGTGGAGGGAAGGAGGGAGAGGGATGGGATGAGCCACGTGCCTGTGGGTGTCCAGCTCCTGGCCAATGGATGGTGAGGACAACCCCACCCATCCCCCTCTGGAAGGACAGGATCTGCTTGGGCCCAGGAGGGTGCCCACTACTGCTTAAGTGGCCACTAGTGCTGCTGCCCACTGGGTTTTTGTTTGTTCCTGAGTCTTGGAGCCATTTGCCACTTGTACAGACAGGAGAACCAAGGAGAACTGGGAGAGCTCCCACACTGCTTTGCCCCCGGGGAGAGAAGTGATTTGGGGACTTAGAATGGGAATGGGTGGACTATCCTAAGGCTACTTAGGTGTGGCTTATAAGCCAAGGTAGACACGTGGATGCTACTCACTCAAGGCTTCTGTGCAGGAGTTTTGGCATTGCCATGAAGGTGTCAGGCAGGGAGGCAGGCACAGACAATGCAGTTCTTATGTTCTAAAGAGGAAATGTGTGTGGCCCTTGACTCTATCATCCTCCCCCCCAAATACCTTTCCCCCTCAATGGCCAGGGCTGAGCAGCTATTGGAAGTGGCATAGAAAACACTAACAAAATATGAGTGGGACTTGTCCTAAAAATCATCTAGGTCAGTCTTTAATATTACAGCTGAGGAAACAGGCCTCCTTGGGAAAGGAAGTGACTTGTCCAAGGTCGTGTAGCCGGTAGTAGCCTGACTCCCTGGGGGTGATTTGAGAGAGGGAGAGAGACGTGTCTCGAAGTAGTTTTCTCAGCAGAGGCCATCTGTACAGTGGAATCTGCCCTCAGGCAAGTCCTTGCTTCTCCCTCCCAAGGCCAGAACATTTATTGAGCCCCTAGTGTGTGTCAGGCACTGTGCCACACTTGGTCTCATTTAACCTAGTCACCATCCTAGCAGTCAGGTGGAATTATTCCATATTATAGATGAGGAAGGAGGTTCAGAGATTAAATCACTTGTTTAAGGTCACAGAGCTAATCAGCAGGGAGTGAGGATTCAAACTCAAGCCTGACTGACTCCAGAGCCCAGCTCTTTCTAGGCCCCAACTCTCTCTTCAGTTGCTCCAGACCCACCAAATGTCAGGGCTAAAGAGCTGAGCCCTTAGGGCTTCCACTCCCACCCCTCCTTGTACAGCTAAGGAGATTAAAGCACAGAGAGAAAGGACTTGCCCAAGCTCATTCAGCAAGCTAGTAGCAGAGCCAGGACCTGAAAAAGATCTCCACACTTCCAGGCCAGACTCACTCCACTACCTGTTCCCCTACCTCTACCAGCCTTGGGATTGCTGGCAGCTAGTTCTATGCCTTCTGTGGCCATGCCTTGTGGGGGAAGGCCTAGGGTTGGAAGATGGCCCTCTAGATGGGGGGAGGTTCTCCTGACTGGCCAGGAATGGGAGGGAGAGGTGGTGGTGGTGGTGGTAGCAGAGGTGGAGAGGGGTGGGACTGGAACTTGGCCTATTGGCAGTGGGGGAGGGGCGGGGATGATGCTTATCTGTGCGGGGCAGGAAGCACCCGAGCCAGCCAGCGACACCCCAGCAAAGCACTGCTGCTCCTTGGCCCCATGGGGGAGGGAAGGATGTGGGGGGGGAGCACGGGATGCTGGGAGCTGTGTTTCCCTTTTGGCCTCTAGAAGAGGAGATATAGAAGGGGAGATGCATTTTTAGTGGACAGGGAGGGGCAGGAGGAGGAGGAGGGTGCTGGGAAGCTGCCTCTCCTGTTTGCATAGTGTTTTACAGTGCACCAATGCTTTAGGCCCTAAAGTTTTGAGAGAGAACTTCAGTTAAAACACCTGATGTGCCTCCAGCAGACCTTGGTCCAATGTGAATCTGAAATCTCATTGGCCTCTCTCTGGGCTATCAGGAGGTTCCATCACAGACTGTTACCCCACTTTTCAAATGACTAAGGCCAGCTGCCATAGCCACCCAGAGTCCTTCAGCCAGCTCTTCATGAAGCCTGAATCAGGACCCAGGCATCCTCTCTCCCACTCCAGTGCTTCTTCCAAGGGATGGGGAATGGGGCAGGTGAAGCAGATGGGTCTCCAGGCAAGGGCCAGAAAGTCAGGGCGCCTGCTCTCACAGAGGCTGAACAGTGGTGAGGAACACGGACTCTGGGTCCTATGTCTGTGTTCGAACCTCATCTTGCTTAACTTGGAAAGTCACTTCCCCTGTCTGTGCCTCAGGTTCCTTGTCTGTGAAATGGATAATTGTTACTTCAGAGGGTTGTGGAAGAGTAAAGGAGTGAAAAGTGCTTACAAGAGTATCTGGCATGTAGTACCCGTCAATAAGCCTTGGCCAATGTTGGTACTCCTTCCCAGGATCCCCTTGCAGGGCTGAGTACTCTTAACCTGCCCGTCTACTTGACCCTGCAGGAGAAGATGGGGAGCCCTGAGGACGACCTCATTGGGATTCCATTCCCGGACCACAGCAGTGAGCTCCTGAGCTGCCTCAACGAGCAGCGCCAGCTGGGCCACCTATGCGATCTCACCATCCGGACGCAGGGGCTTGAATACCGTACCCACCGGGCCGTGCTGGCCGCCTGCAGCCACTACTTCAAGAAGCTCTTCACTGAGGGCGGTGGCGCGGTCATGGGGGCCGGGGGCGGTGGGACAGCCGTTGGGGGAGCAGGGGCTGGTGTGTGTGAGCTGGACTTTGTGGGGCCAGAAGCTCTGGGTGCCCTGCTCGAGTTTGCCTATACAGCCACACTGACCACCAGCAGCGCCAACATGCCGGCTGTGCTCCAGGCCGCCCAGCTGCTGGAGATCCCCTGTGTCATCGCCGCCTGCATGGAGATTTTGCAGGGCAGCGGACTAGAAGCCCCTAGCCCTGACGAGGATGACTGTGAGCGAGCCCGCCAGTACTTGGAGGCCTTTGCCACTGCCACAGCCTCAGGAGTCCCCAATGGTGAAGACAGCCCTCCACAGGTGCCTCTGCCACCACCACCACCACCACCACCTCGGCCTGTTGCTCGCCGTAGCCGCAAGCCCCGAAAAGCTTTCCTGCAGACCAAGGGCGCCCGGGCAAACCACCTAGTACCTGAGGTGCCCGCAGTTCCCACCCATCCTTTGACCTACGAGGAGGAGGAGGTGGTAGGCAGAGTGGGCAGCAGTGGGGGCAGTGGGCTGGGAGACAGTTACAGTCCTCCCATGGGGACTGCCTCACCCCCTGAGGGGCCCGTGAGCTATGAGCCCTATGAAGGTGAGGAAGAAGAGGAGGATCTGGCATACCCCCAGGCCTACAGGCTGGCACAGGTCGGTGGGCCCCCGCTGTCCCCAGAGGAGCTGGGCTCAGATGAGGATGCCATCGATCCTGACCTAATGGCCTACCTAAGTTCCCTGCACCAGGATGCCCTGGCACCAGGCCTAGACGGCCAAGACAAACTGGTGCGCAAACGCCGCTCCCAGATGCCCCAGGAGTGCCCCGTCTGCCACAAAATCATCCATGGGGCAGGCAAACTGCCACGCCACATGAGGACCCATACGGGAGAGAAGCCCTTTGCCTGTGAGGTCTGCGGTGTCCGCTTTACCCGGTGAGCACCAGTGGGGAAAAGGCTCAGCAGGGGCCATGTCATGGGGGAGGGAGAAAGGAGTTATGAGACCTGAGGTAGGGAGGGGGTGATCCTGGAGGGTCTGGCGGGGTAGGAGTTACCAGGGTGAGAGGGAGATCAGGATAGGAAGACCAGGAGAAAGGAAGTTAAGGGGGATGGATCTGAGGCATGAAAGATTTGGTGTCCAAGAAGGCTATGCTAGAGATAGAATGGGTGGTGGCTGGGCCCAGCTAAGCTGAGGACAAGACAGCAAAGGTATTCTGGAGCAATAAAAATGGTGAAGGATGGGAGTGGGACAAGGCCTGGGAATCTGGCCAGGATGAGCCAAAGACCCCATCCTGAACATCCCCTTTGCCCCTCACCCCTGCCTATGCCAGGAATGACAAGCTGAAGATCCACATGCGGAAGCACACTGGAGAGCGCCCCTACTCATGCCCGCACTGCCCAGCCCGCTTCCTGCACAGCTACGACCTCAAGAACCACATGCACCTGCACACAGGGGACCGGCCCTATGAGTGCCACCTGTGCCACAAGGCTTTCGCCAAGGAGGACCACCTGCAGCGCCACCTCAAGGGCCAGAACTGCCTGGAGGTGCGCACCCGACGGCGCCGCAAGGACGATGCACCACCCCACTACCCACCACCCTCTGCCACCACCCCGTCCCCCGCTGGCCTCGACCTCTCCAATGGCCACTTGGACACCTTCCGCCTCTCTCTGGCTCGATTCTGGGAGCAGTCAGCCCCCACTGGGCCCCCAGTCTCCACTCCGGGGCCCCCTGATGACGATGAGGAGGAGGGGGCACCCACCACTCCTCAGGCCGAAGGTGCCATGGAGTCCTCTTAAAGAGGGATGAGTGGCCAGGCTGGAGCAGCACAAAGCGGGGCCACCCATGCCAAGCAGTGGGAGCCTGCGGGACAGACAGAGCTGGGGTCAGAGCGCTGAGCCTCCCTGGCTTCAGAAATCAGCCCCTTCTCCCCAGAGCCCTCATTCCAGTTCCAAGCTGAGAAGGTTTGGGGGCAAAGGCTCCCCAGATTGGGGTGATCTCCCAAGGAGTGATCCATATGATATTATGTATATATTTACAGCTCTATTGTAAAGGTGGGGTCCCTGTCCCCAGCTGTGCCTGGGGAGTAGAAGCAATAATGTATTTCTGATTTGTGGGGTCCCTCTTCGGCTATGCGGGTTTCTAGGGGGTGGGGGGCTTGGGACCAAAGCCTTACCCTGCCCCCATGCCCCTTGGGGCTTTGGCTCTGTAAGGGGGTGAAGGACTGCCCCTCCCTTCCTAGACCCCTCCTTCCTGGTTTCTGTTCCCTTTTCCTGGCAGTGCAAAGGAGGGCGGCAAAAGAAGGGTAGGTGGGGGAAAGCAAGGTAGAATCTTGAATGACGGGGGAAGAAGGGGACTGGGCCTGTAAGGAAGGAGCCATCCCAGTCCCCCTCCGCCCTGCTCCCAGCGCTGAGTCATGGGGTCCTGGAGAAGAAGGGGGCGGGGTGGCCTGATTGGCTCGCCTGCCCCTGGGGGCAGCGGGAGGGGCCCCGCCCAGCTAGGGGTGCTGCTCCGCAGTTCTCCTCCCCAGCCCTCCCCTCCCCTCCCGCGTCCCCGGGCAGGGAATGTCTTGTTCCCGCCGCTCCCTCCCCGGGGCCAGAGGGCAGGGCGGGCCGGGCTGTGTCCCTACCCTCTTCTC